TATAAATAGAAAGAAATTAATTGGCCAACTAATATATATAGAAAAAATTAGCCAGGCATGGTGGCGCATGCCTGTAGTCCCAGCTACTCGGGAGGCTGAGGCAGGAGGATTGCTTGAGCCCAGGAGTTTGAGGTTGCTGTGAGCCAGGCTGACGCCACGGCACTCACTCTAGCCTGGGCAATAAAGTGAGACTCTGTCTCAAAAAAAAAAAAAAAAAAAAAAGTTAGGAAATCATAGTATAATCAATTTCTTAAATTTACCCTTATTACTATTTATAAAAAGATTAGCCTGCAGAAATAAAGCTCACCATTCTTTTTAAACTCAAATGTTGGACATGTTTATTAACAAAGGAATAAATCATCTTAGTTGCTCTTTCAAAAAATAATGGACTGTTTTTTTTTTGTTTAAAGTAAAACTAAAAACAGCATTGTATTGAGAAACAGATTTTATGAGTAGATATTAAATTCTAAATCTTTTTAAAACTTTAATGATTTTTAACATCTTAAGTGTCTACAACAGACAAGACTATCTTTTTGTTTTAAAATAACCCAATGAATAAGTATCCATGGCAATCCATTTCTTCTTGATAGACAAAAAAAAAATGTTTATGCAAACAAAGTACTCAACAATGTCTGCTAAGATTTTTATGAACTTGTTTTCAATTAGGTATTTTAGCTCACTTTTTAAAATTTACTAATGTCTCAATTTTCTTTCCAGGACCATGATAAACCTCTGATTTTTTTCATTTCTTTGCTATCCTGTTTCATTGATAACTTCGTTAAAATAGGAAAAATCTCACTAAAAACCACTTCATTACAAAAACACAAACTTCAAGATATCTTGGACACAATTTATTTTTGCATGTTAAAATATGTTGTGTATACACTATAGGTACAACATGGTGAACAAAGTATGAAAAAAGACAAGCAAGATCCCTTGCCTCAGTGCAACTTACCTACTCCCCTCCAACTCATTATACTAAATGTGCCTCACCTTGAGCTTTCACAGACAGCTGAAATATTTTCACAGAAAGGAAGATTATGATGTGGTATAAAGAGCCAAGTAACAGGTTTGTAACCAAAACCTTGGACTTAACTTATAAAGGCCTCAGTTTTCTCTCTTGTAAAATAAAGTAGTTGGGCTATCTCTTTTCCATTTAAACAGGCTGTTAGGAACTGGATTTAGGATTAACTATATTACTTATAATAGCAAAAACTTAGGTTAACAACCTAAATGTTAATGAACATTCCAGACAACATAATACTACATGACCCTTTCCAGAAAAAGCTGTGGATCCATATGTACTAACGTAAAAAGATGTCCCAGATATCCTGTTAAAACTAAAAAGTAAAATGCAGATAGTATGACTCCACTGGTATTTTAAAAGAGATATACACATATATATACACAGAAATTCTCTAGGACACATAAGAAACTTCAAAGTGGCTGGTCCGATGGTAGTGGGTTATCAGAACTTATTCACATTAGTGTCACTAAAGTTGGTATTCAACCCCCCACTGCTAAATTTGACTGGCTTAAAAAAAAAAAAAAAAAAGAAACTTCAAAGTGGTTATAAGTGGGGAAAGAGGAATGCTAACTTTAAAAAAAAAATCTCTTAGCCTTCTGTAATATTTGAAAACTTTAAAAATAATGAACATGTATTACTTTTATAAAGTTTTAAAAGAAACTAAAAGTAGGCTGGATGTGGCAGCTCACACCTATAATCCCAGCACTTTGGGAGGCCAAGGTGAAAGAATCACTTGAAGCCAGGAGTTCAAGACTAGCCTGGGCCACATATCGAGACCCCGTCTCTATAAAAACTAAAAATGAAAAAATCAGGTGAGGTGGTGCATACCTGTAGTCCTAGGACCTAGCTACTCAGGCAGGAGGCTGAGGCATGAGGATCACTTGAGCCCAGGTGTTCCAGCCTGGGAGACAGAGCAAGACCCTCCTGTCTCCAAAAAAAAAAAAAAAAAAAAAAAAAAAGAAAGAAAGAAAAAAGAAAACAGAAAGAGAAAGAACAAGAAAGGAAACTAAAAGTAAAGGTTCTATAATTAGACAAGACCTGGGCTCAAATACTGGCTTTGCTATTTACCATCCATATGATATTATTAAGTTACTTAACCTCAGTTTCTCCATCTGTAAAAAGGAGTTGAAACTGTCAAGAGGATAAAAGGAAATCATGCATGTAAGGCATTTAGCATAGCACATTGTAAGAGGACAAGTGTTAGCAGCTATTATTGGGATTATTATAAATATTACTATAAACTCAAAAAACAGCTGTCTTTAGAATCAGATTTGACAATTCATTCAATGATCATCAATCTCACAATCAATTTCCTTTATCCAAAACTCATACAATCTGATCACTATAAGAAAGGGCACCTGTTAATTTAAGGTTTAAAAAGCTATCACAGGTAACAGGTGGGCTGATGAACATAGTAATCAGAGCAAAGTTTGGGTTTTAAGTGTCACCTACGAGAGTAGCCTTCTTCATTATATAGATACCTGTCCAAGGAACCAGAATACTTATGATGGCTGGGCAGGAGACTCTAATCTTTACAGAATGTTGAATACATAAAAATAAGTTTTTTAAAGCAATTCAACCTTCCAACTTTTAAAATATTTTTTAATATACAATGATTGCTCATTTTCCTCTTTTTGGTACTGATAGTTTTGCACATAATTTGCCAATTAATTACAAATAAGATGTCAATCAAGTGGGAGATATAAAAGTGAAATCTCCATAAAAACAAATTCCAAAAAAGCATGATGAATGGCTTTTTAAAATCATACTTTTCCTCATAGAATTAAAAAAAGATTGAGGCTGAATATTACCAAATCAAAATACTCCAAGTTGTAAATCTGGCTTTTATATAGTAAACACACTCTCAGAAAGTATCACTCTAACAATATTCAATTTAATTTTCCTAACAAGCCAAGAACACATCCTAAGCTTCTACATAACAACTGAGAGAATGCTGACATTAAGGTAGATCAAATCAATATGTAGTACAACTGGCTTGAGTCCACCATATTACAATTCTAACAGGTCTTCTTGGTATTGGAGAACAGTTTCAATATCAGTGTGATGTATTACAGTTTGGGTTACCCCAATTACAATTATGAGACAAAATGTCACACACATTTAACATTTTTCAATATGAAAATAAAAGAGGCTCCACTGAATACCAATTTATTTAAGTTTGTCAGAATGTAAACCTTTAAAATAGTAACCATTTCAAATTCTACAAGTAGTTACATTTGAATACACCGAAGAGTTACAGTAGCTTTCCTGAGTGACCTGAACGTCCACAAAAAAAAAAAAAAAACCCTGGCACCTCAGTGAGGCTCTAAGAACTGCATGCCTACTTCATAGATCATTGCACTGTGCTGAACTGGCATTTGGAGACTGTATTGAGTTAGCTACATGAAAGCAAAGGGACCGGATGGGGAAGAGTTTACAAAAAAAGAAAACACTATTCTTAACACAGCCATCACCTATAAGCAAGAGCTACCAGAAACATTTAAAAATGCACACATTTCTAATTTTTCAACATTCAAAATACAGCAAGGAGATAAGCTGCCACAAGCAGATCTTCCTACCCCTCTCACCCCCACACAGTGCTCTGCCAAGAGCACAGGCCCAAGTAAAATAACCGATGCAATTTCCTTGTTTACTTAAAGAATGGCAGAAAACATGTTGACCGCTTTGGGGCTTCTGAAACAAATGAATTTTTAATATTTAAAAGACGTTTCATGATGATGTTTGAAATAGCACAGTAGTAATGATTCCTTCAGCTAGTAATAATCTAGTTTTAAATTTACTAGAAGAGTTAAATTTACACTGCAGTCCAACAGCATGCCTTGTTTGCAACCAGAAGGAAGAGGGGAAAGAGGAGGAGAAAAGCAGCAAAACACACAGGATGGAAAACATCACTATCTCCTTTGGTGGTTATGAATAATTTTAAATGACCCAAGATGTAAGGGGGAAACAGCTCGTGATTAGGAAGAAAGGGGGTTGACAATCTGAACCAGCCCCTTCCAGGTTCACGCTGATGTCGGAGAGCAAAAGGGATTTATTTACACTGCAGCGCCTGGCAGCAAACATGGCTGCCCCTGCCCCCTTTAAATCTGAACAGTCTTCACTCCCTCACCAAAACCGTCAGATTATGGCCATGTCTCTCCCTGTCTCCCAACCATAACACAAACACATCTCCTCCTCCCTCAAAACAGTAAAACCCACACCTCCCCATTTCACAACAATCACAATCCCATAACCACTAGCTTCTCCATTCTCTAGTCTTGAAAGAAAAGGCACAGAATACGCACAAATATAGGAACAAAAGGCTTCCTTCCTAACACTTTAACAGCCCCCATCCCCTTCTTTTCCTCCCACTCTGTGATGCCAAGTCGGCTCGTTCTCATCCCCACCAACATTCAGTTCATTCCCTTCCCTAACCCAATCCTACGTCTCCCAGTTTCCTGCGTGCTTCCTTATCCTCCTATCGCGTCCTGCCTCAGTCATTTCTCATCCCTTTCCTCCACTTCCATTCCCTCATTTCTCCCTCGATCCCCACAAGGTGGCCCCTTCCTCCATCAAATTCTGCCCCTTCCCCCAGACTCTACTTCCCCCACTCCACCCAAACCTCCCATTTCTCCGTCCTCCACCCAGGCCCCTCGTCTCGTCCAAATCGAACTCTTCCCCTGCCCCTTCCCCGTCCCCGTCCCTATCCCCGCCCCCATCCCACCTCTACTCCCAATTCCCAGGCCGGCGCCACTCCATCTCTTACCCCCACCCGCCTCCCTGCCCCACCCCCAGCCCCTCCACACCCCCACCTGGCCATCCGCTCCTCCTCCCGGACTCCCCCGAACCCTCTCCGGCCACCCGCCTCTCCTTCCCGCCGGGGTCTCCCCGTGCCCCGTCCGAGGCCGCCCCCTCGCCGGCGTCCCCCTCAGCCTTCCTCGCGTTCCACATCACACACGCTCACGCACTTTACCTTCAGTTTGTTCCATTCTAACCCCGCGGCCGTGTCAGTACGCTCACAGGAGACACACGGAGGCCCGGAGCGGGGCTGGGGCGCGGGCAGCCGCCGGGGCCGCGGGGGGAGCGGACGGAACCAGGCTAGGCCGCATGAAATCCCCCGGCTAGATTTTCCCCGCGCCGGACGCCTCTGCCATGGCGGCCGGCACCGAGGAGGGCCGCGGCCGGGCCGGGCCGGGCGTGCTGCGGGCACAGGAGGGCTGCGGGCGACGGGTGGGAAGGGAAGCGGGGAGCGGGGTCGCCGCGCAGCCGCCGCTGCCGGAGAGGAGCCTGCGGCTGACGGCCGGACCGGGGCGGCGGGGTCCTCGGGGCTCGGCTCGGAATCCGCACGCCTCTCCGCGGCGACCTGTGCACGGTCCCTCGGCCTCCGCCTCCGCGCTGGCCGCCGCCGCCCGCGCCCGCCGCCGCCGCCGCCGCGCACAAAGCCCCCCCACCCCGACTCTCGGGGCGCCGCCGCCGCCAAATCCTCGGGCCCTCATTGGCCGTGCGCCGCGGCGCCTGCCGGGAAATGCAGTCCGGTTGGGGCGCGGGGGGCCGGAGGAGGAAGCCCGTCGGCGGGGCGCAGAGGAGGGGCGGCCGGGGGCGCGCGGCCGAGGCCGAGCCGGAGGGATGGTGCGCAGGAGGACAGGACCGGGAGGCAGGGAGAGGGGCCTGCGCGGCCGGCCCGTGCGTGGCCTTGGGTACTTATGTGGTGACAGCACGCCCTGAGCGCCACCGGGGCTCCCCAGAGCGCCACCGCGCCGCCACCCCCGGACGCTAGAGATGGGCTGCAGGCGGGCCCGTGCCGGAGACCCGCGCGAGCCGGGCCACTCCGGCGCCGTCCGACAGCTGTCAGAGACGCGCCTCCACTAGGGCCCGCGTCCGGAGCCCGGCGGCGGTTTCAGACTCAAGCCTGGGGCACAGCTCCCCCTTCGGCCGCGGCTGAGGGTCGTGCGGAGACCCCAGCCGCCAGCAGAAGGCCGGCGGCGCCGCGGTCGGGTCCGGGGGGCGCGAGACCTCCCCGCGGCCGCCGGCCCCGCACGCCCCCTTCCGGCTCCAGCGCGGGCGCGGGGGCTTGTGGGTGACGACGACGACGTCAGCGCCGCCCGCATCCCCGCCGCCGGCCCGGGCGGCTCCGTGCCAGTCACGTGCCGGGCTCGCCGCCGCTCCCCTCCCGACCGGCGGGGCGCGGGCACGGGTCCTAGGCGGCTCAGGCAAGAGCGAGGGGACGAAGAGGGAGGCAGTTCTCTGTGATCCCCTAGCCCACCATCCTAGGAAGTTTACGTAAAACAGTGGCAGGTCCCAGGTGTGTGCCGGCCTGGTGAGGAAGACTTAGAACGTGGCCCCACAGAGTCGGGAACGTACAGAGACACAGGCAGCTGTCAGGTGAGGAAACCAGGCCTGCGCTCTCCATTCTGAGAATAATAAAGCCATAGCGCTGGTAGACGTCATACTCTCTAAAGACCTCATATGCAGGATCTATTTGGTTCCATTACAAGAAGCACCTTACAATCTCATTTTTAAATACCACTTAAACAAGAAATTAAAAGAGTCCTATAAGATCAGTTATTTTAATGGGTATTAATTATGAATTTGCTTTTTTGGCATAACCCTGTTAATAATACTAAGGACGATACTGACAATTATGAGTTCCCTTTGCTGTTACTCATTCAATATTTTTAAACCTATGCGTTGTATAGTAAGACAAATTGAAACGATCAGTAAAAGCACATTTTTTATTTGTGATAAATATGTCTTCTAAAAACACATATGGCCAAAGAGGGCCACCTGAGCCTAGTTTGATTCTATCTACTGGAAAGAGGGGTTACATTAGTCTTTTTTTTTCTACCTCCATCCTCCATTTGCCCCTCCTGTATCTTCCTTATTAAAAATAATACTTTGCATTTTCAGCATCTAACATCTTCTGAGGTTCAGAACATGTTTATTCTTTTCAGTAGAAATGAGCAAGCAGTTCATTAAGACAGCAATCTAAAACAATTCTCAGGGTCAGAGTTATGGGGGGGGAAACTTTTTTGGTTTCTCTTCCGAAGATTACATACAGAAACTCCCTACGTGACAAATCACTTACCCTGAAAGTAAAAGAAATCGCCAAGCCTCATAACAAGGGAAGGTAGACACTGCTTTGAACAAATGGGTTTCAATAAGAGGAGTTTTTAACTCTTCCCTTTTTAGAATAGGATTGCTGACATATGGCAGTGGTAGAAAACAGCTCATCTTTCAAATGCTGGGCATAGACTCATTCATCTGGTTTATGAATAATTAATGATTTTTACTGTGCCTGGTTTTAAGTGAATACAATACATGTATTAAACTATTTTGTGGTATAAAATGTCTCCCAGGGAACTGAGAATGTTTTTGCATCCTTTATAATCTTTTCCAGAAAAGTACATGTACATGGTAGTGCAGTGATTTATAATACTAATGTGAAAGCTATTTCTACAGTTTAGAGCGCAAAGTCAAGAATTTTCAGGGAGGAAAAGGTAAAGAGACCAAAGCTTTGTAGATTTTAATTCTAGTAAACACAGGACGTGGAGTGAAACCTTTACGTGGAAAGTTGAACATCAGACGTGCACAAAGGGACCTCTAGTGGCCAAACTGAAAATTTTTGCGTATTTAATATAGTCGATCCGTTTGGTTATTAGCTGAAAAATGTTTTGCGAATTAAAAGCAGTCTGCATTTTTTACTGAAATTTAATGCGCGACATCTTTCATTCTTAGAAATGTGCAGCCCAGATGAGTAAAGTTTGTGGTCACGTCACATGTTAAGAGAAGTATTCACCGTGTGAAGCGACTCATTGCTGTCTGCTCTGAGTAGCGTCACCAAAATTTTTACTGCAGCCAGACAAAATGGATGGGAAGAGATTGAAAAGGAAAACCCCCATCTATTACTTGGCACTTCAGCATCCTGAGACCCCCCACCCCTCGCGGAAGACCCTCATCAGCAGAACACCGAACCTATTACCTGACACATCAACTAACCTATTACCTGGCGGGCATTAGCCACCTGATACCCCACCCCTCGGACCACCCCAACTTAATAGAAGTGGGGAGAATCGGGTAGATGGGGCTCAGAATTTGGTGGCGAGACCCCTCTGAGCCTGCCAGCGAGTCTACTTTGATTCTCTGACTCTCCATGTACCGCTGGGTTTGTCCTCGCCTCGCGCTGTAACACCTGCTGTAACAAGATCGCTGGGGAACAAGAATATTTCTAGATCTTTCGCTTTCCCAAGATGGCTCAGCCGTCCATCCTAGAAACTGAAGTGCCCCACAAAGCGGCAAGTGCCTACATCGTTTCACAGCTACCATAGTATACATTTTAAATGTTAAGACTTCTACACAAACTACTGATCATAAACAACATCTGTTAAGCAAATTTACACGGATTTCTTTAGTGGAATTCAGATTTCCGCACAAAGATTTCACAGCATTACAGCCTTGGGCCCTGGAAGGGCCGGCAGAGGGGTGTTTTCCTTCCGATTCCCGCTCTTTCTCCTACCCCACTTCAACCTCCCCTCCACTCCCCCCAGGCAGTGTCGGAGTTGAGGGGAGCAGGCGGAGGGAGAATACAGCAAAGTGGTGTCATTCGTGACTCCAAGATGGTTACCATGGCGACTATCAGACAAATCACGCTATCAGTAGCGAAAGAGCCTCTTTAATCCATCCTTCATTCAAGGGTTTCCTCGGGTGTTAGCCGCGGCCTACAGACTGTGGACTGGCAGAAAAACATCAATCTCGGGCCCCACAGCACCGACGTTCCTTAAATGAAACCCAACGAAGAAGTCATCTCGCCGACGGGAACGCGACTTTGCGGCTTCCTGGGCTGCGGTGGTGAAGGACGCCCGCCCTCCCTAGAATGTGAGAGCTCATTGGCTGGTGATGTCGTCACTCAGAGTGACGTAGGCGCGAGGGGCGAGGTGGAGCCATAGAGACTTGGCTCCGGGCCCCTCTAGCTTGGGGGCCGGGGGAGGACTTGGGAAGAAACTGGGAGGATCGAGGCGGCCGTTCCCGGGAGCCGGGCCAAGGAGGTAGGGTGGGCGGGCCCAGGCCCGGGCCGTGAGGTGGTGGGCCGTGCCTGCCTTGTATCCTCCGGAGCCCGCGCCCTCCGCATCCTGCCCCTCGGCCCTTGACCTCGTCCCCGCCGGGCGCCCCCAAACTCTGGATCGCAGCCCCCACTCCCCTCCTTCCGGGCTTCGCTTCCTCCTTTCTGTTCCGTACCCTGCTTCTCCTCGTCTTCATTTCCAACCACCGCGATCGTCATCGTCACCAAGGGTCGTCGTTGCCGGGCCTGCCCCACCCCCGCACCTCCAACCCCAAAACACCAAAAACAAAACAAAACAAAACAAAAAACCCCACAAAATCCCCCAGACCCCACCACAACAGACAGGCCACCCGCACACACGCACGAAAGCCACTGGCTGAGGAAGCTGAGGGCGCGTTTTGCACCCGTGTCGTGAAGTGTCTGAAGCAAAGGTAACCCCAGGACCCTGGGCGTGCGGCTGCCCACAGCCCGGGGCCGGAGAGGGATTAACCGCCGCGTCTGGTCGTGTCTCCCTCCTGCGAGACACCGCCCACCGGCAGTCTGGCTCAGAGGCTCAGAATGTCAGCTCTGTGGTTGACATTTCCGTCTAGGAGAGACCCTGGCACTCCCTTCCCAGCTGCAGGAGAGCAGGGTTGAGTGTGAGCTACTACGGCTCCTTGCTGCTCCGCGCTGCCCCTAGCTGAAAAGCGCCGCAGGATGGGGACAGGTTTTGATGAAGGTGGAGGTTATTTAAAAGCAATTTGGGCTCTGGAGAATCACTAGGAAGGGAAACCCTTTTACCTCTACTTGAGCGATTAGAGTAGGTACCCTGTATGTCTTCACAGCTGCACAAATGAGATTAGGGAGTACAGCTTGGCCAAATATGGAAAAAAAAAAAAAAAGCTAATTGAAAATAAATCCAAGCTATTTGCTTTCTACGTATATCTTTAGGCTACAAATATGTGTGTCTTGCTCAGCTTTTTAAGTACTTGGCAATCATTTAAGTTAGATTACTAGATACTAATGGCCAGAAATCAAAATGCCTCTGAAGACCATACCATCTTCATGAACACTGTCCTCTTAGAGATCGTTTTCATTTGTTGGCATCTCAAAGTACCATTCTCAAATCCAGAACCATGAAAATATTTTCTTTTTATTCACGATTGTTGGAACTGAACTTGAAGGGAGATTTTGCATATTAACCATGCAAATATTCTACCCTTGCAATAGTTAAAAACACTTAAATCTTGATATATTTTAATTGATGTGTTTTAAAAATACTAAACTCTTTACTTGCTCCTTTCCTCAGGTCCTTATGTTGACTAGTTGAGAAAAAAATAAATATGGCTTTCTACAGTTATAATTCAGTCTTAGTTATTGCTCGAACAAGGTAAGCATTGGAGTCCCCCCCATATGTATATGAATTTCATTCTTCTAGATGGAAAGGATATGTGTAAAAGGATTGGCTTAGTACACAATTAATACTTTGTTGGCTTTTAGGAAGCTGACATTTTAATGTAGTTAAACATACCAAAATTTTATATATGTTTTAGAACTCAGGCTGAGTAATTTTGTAGATGTGTGGTAGAGGTTAAAGTAGAAAACGTAATGCTTTTAGAGTGACATCTCTGTAATTGATAATGTTACATGAGGCTCTTAGATGTAAAGAAGTAAAATGGCTGGTGAACAAGCCAGTCCTAGGACATATTCCTGTCCGATTATGGTCTGTTATCATTTATTTACTCAGAAGAATATTCACTAAGAACTTACTATATGCCAGATACATTGTACATTTTCCCTTTTGGCCATTCAAAAAGTGTTTTATCTTGGCATACTTCAAAAATAGTCTGAAAGAATGGAAAAAAACATCTCTTTGCCAAAAGAAATCTCTTTTCCAGTAATTTTCTTTGCCTGGATCTATTTTATTTTTCTTTTCTTTTTTTTTTCTTTTTTTTTTTTTGTGTTTTTTGAGACAGAGTCTCGCTTTGTTGCCCAGGCTACAGTGAGTGCTATGGCATCAGCCTAGCTCACAGCAACCTCAAATTCCTGAGCTCAAGCGATCCTTCTGCCTCAGCCTCCCGAGTAGCTGGAACTACAGGCATGTGCCACCATGCCCGGCTAATTTTTTCCTATATATATATTAGTTGGCCAATTAATTTCTTTCTATTTTTATAGTAGAGACGGGGGTCTCGCTCTTGCTCAGGCTGGTTTCGAACTCCTGACCTCGAGCAATCCGCCCACCTTGGCTTCCCAGAATTTATTTTTATTTTCAAACAATCTGATGTGCTAGTGTAACTGAAGATTGTGGGCTGTTGCAATACTAGAAAAATGTAGAGATCCTTGGCTGGGTGCCCAATACTAATTCTTATTCCCAACATTCTTGAAGAATGTTAGGTGAAGGGCCTTTCAGCTGTAAGTATCTCTTTCTTGAGGGAGTCCATAGGCACTACAGAGGCAAAGCAGTATTGTAGGATTGGTTAATGCCCATGGTGACCCTGAAATGTTCCATTAAAACAGTATTCCTGTTATCAGTAGAGTGGCTTCCACCTATTTTATGATAGTAGATAGAGAAAACAGCACCATCAAACACAACCCCTGGTGGAAAGATGTTTGCTATTAGATTTTTAAATTAATAGTCACAGAACTTATAACTTCTAATATAGCAATTCTTAGGAATTACCTTATTAATATTTCACATAGAGTATATCACTGACCCATAGAGCATCTGTTCTTCAACTAGGGTGAAAAGTTATGTTTCATTCTTTTATGAACATTAGCTGCTCCTAAAATATACACTTTAAGGCCATTGCTTTATTTTAACCAGATAAAAGATCTTTCTATAAGTTTGAATAGTGTGTACTCAACTTGGGCTTGCTCTTTATTCCAGGTTCCCCAGCCATTTTGTCCATCCCACCTGCTCGTCTTTTTCCCCATCATTTGCATTTCTTCACTTGCCAGATTCACATTTAAATAAGACATATATGAAGAACTATGGAAATAAGAAGTACTCCTATCCCAGTCAGTCAGGCAGTAAAGTACTTCACTTACGAACTAGGCTCATACGGAAGCTGCACACGTCAACTTGCTGGTTACAAGAGGTCCCTAGTAAACTTCAGCCGGAGCAAACCACAGAAAAGCCAGGGGTGACGAGCCCTCAGCCTACAAAAGAAACTGGCACAAAGATTAAAGGAGGAAAGCCATCTTTGAGACAAAGAATTGTAGATGAACTTAAACATTATTACAATGGATTCCGCTTACTTTGGATTGACACCAAAGTTGCTGCCAGAATGGTTTGGAGGCTGCTGCACGGACAGGTGCTGACCAGACGTGAGAGACGAAGGGTAGGCAAGAATCGTGTTTGAGGAAGAAAATGTGAAATTAAAATGAACTATTTCGGAACCAAGTTTTAGACTCAAACTTCATCTTAAAAATCCCAGGCCAGGCATGGTGGCTTGTGCCTATAAACCCAGTACTTTAGGTGGCTGAGCCATGAGGACTGTTTGAGACCAGAAGTTCAAGACCAGCCTGGGCAACATAGTGAGACCTCAACTCTACCAAGAAAAAAAAAAAAAATCCCAAAGTAGGAATAATAACTGCGGATGAGAACCAGAGTTTCCTTTTTTTTTTTTTTGAGATGGAGTCTTGCTCTGTTGCTAGGGCTAGAGTGTCAGGGTGTCAGCCTAGTTCACAGCATCTTCAAATTCCTGGGCTCAAGGGATCCTCCTGCCTCAGCCTCCCGAGTAGCTGGGACTACAGGCATGCACCAACATACCTGACTAATTTTTTCTAATTTTAGTAGAGATGGGGTCTCACTCTTTCTGAGGCTGGTCTCGAACTCCTGACCTCAAGCAATCTGCCCACCCTTGGCCTTCCAGAGTGCTAGGATTACAGGTGTGAGACACCACGCTCAGCCCAGAACCAGAGTTTCTTACTTGTCTGCAACTGACTTACTATACAGTTTTAGTCAACAGTCTTAAAATTTTTATATATTTGCCTACAGAATGGTTATAATGGTGTTTTTAAATCTCTCCCAAGAATTAAAAGACTTCGGGTTTGAGGTGTTATTAATATGTTAAGCATAGGCATTTTAAAAACCAACTTTAACTGATACTGTATTATTAAACTATGGACCCCCTAACTTAGATGAAAGCTAAGAAATACCAATAATATGTTTTGATTATCATAGATTTCCTTGAAGATATCCCATAAATATTACTTTAGAGCTGTGGTAAACAGGAAAACCTGGCCTTTTCATTTTATAAACAGCTGTAGAAAACTTGTGTTTTTAACACTTTAAAAACCAAGGCAGGCTTTTTTGTTTTAGTTTTTGGCATGTCCTAAAATAATGAATATTGCGTATGCATTTAATTCTTTAGCTGTTGAGAACTTGTGTCGATTTCTTCCGCCTGGTTCCCTTTATGGTGTTCGTATTTGTGCCCTTCATGGAATTCTTATTACCAGTGTTTCTGAAACTCTTCCCAGAGATGTTGCCATCAACTTTTGAAAGTGAATCCAAAAAGGTATGTAGGATTTTTTAACTTTAAAAAAAATTAATAAACTTTATTTTTTAGAGCTGTTTTTAGGTTTACAGAAAAATTGGGTAGAGAGTAGAGTTCCCATATGCCACTCCCCCCCCACCACCATTTCCCTTGTAATTAAAATCTCACATTAGTATGCTATATTTGTTGGAAACAAGGAACCAATATTGATAATTATTAATCAAAGCTCATACCTTACATTAGGGTTCACTCTGTGTGTTTTACAGTTCTGTGGGTTTTGTAAATGCGTCATGTCATGTGTCCACCATCACAGTGTCCTACAGAACAATTTCACTGATGGCAAAATCCTCTGTGCTCCACCTGTTTGCCCAGCGTATGGCAACCACTGATGTTTTCACTGTCTATAGTTTTGCCTTTTCCAGAATGTCAGATAGTCAGACTCATACAGTGCGTGGCCTTTTCAGATTGGCTTCTTCCACTTGGCAATGTGCATTTAACATCCTTCCCTGTCTTATTTCTTTTTATCACTGAATAATAGACCCCTGCATGGATATACCACAGTTTGTCTATCCATTCACCTCTCGAAGACACCTCAGTTGCTTCCAGTTTTTGGCAATTATGAATAAAGCTTCAATAAACATCTGTGTGTAGGTTTTTGTGTGGATGTACGCTTTCAGCTCATTGGGGTAAATACGTAGGAGAGTAATTGCTGAATCGTATAAGACTGTGTTTAGCTTTGTAATAAATTGCTAAACTGTTTTTCAAAGTGGCTGTACTATTGTGCATTCCCCCAGCAACAAACGAGAGTTCCTGTTGCTCCACATCTTCCCCAGTATTTGATGTTGTCAGTGTTCTGGACATTAGCTAGTCAAATAGGTATGTAGTGGCATCTCATTGTTTTAATTTGCAGTTCTCTAATGTCATATGATATTGAGTATCTTTTCCTATGCTC